AAACAATGGTATTTAATTTGAAACGATAATATGTATGCACGGTATTTACAATAAAATCTCAATAAAACCACCATTGATAAGCATCAAACAAATAGCGAAAAAAACATCAAACATTGTTGAAACGAATGATAGTCCATGAGGCCGTATCCACAATAATATAGAGCTAATTTGCCGACCAAATACATGAAGTAGAACAATTTCTTAATGACATTTTCAGAATATTATTGCCTCGCTATCATGAAAAGACGTAATACCCACCATGGTTGAGGATTATGGTTGTCAGTGTAAGACACAATGAGAAAAAGGAAAAAAAAACGATAAAAAGAGAAATGACATTCGTGTCCCTCTGTATATGTACATGCTGTGACATACATGCTGTAGCTCAGTAATCAATATGCAGCAGGGCGATATTATACAATTATGGGAGTTAATGCTGTCTCTGTGTACTTTCTATACACCCTTAAAATGTATCTACACTGGAAGAGGCGTTTTTCAATTTTCTTTGTATAAACGGCACAGCTTTTCCTCCATTTTCTCATAGTAAAAGGAAAAACCCTGGAGAACTACAGTATCTGGATGGTAATGAAAAAAATGCAAGACTTCCATCATGTTGCACAAAATTGCATCTGGATGGTAATGAAAAAATGCAAGACTTCCATCATGTTGCACAAAATTGCATCCCTGCACACTGCCTTGAAGTTCGTTAATATTCAATTCATTATTTAGACTCCAATGCAGCAGTTTATTGGTGATAATGAGCAACACAACACACTGCTGTATAGGAGGCTCATAAACTACAATCTAAGCTACAGCTACAACAGAAATACAAATCTCTAGGAACCCACAGATACCATTTTGAGTGTGCAGTGTGTGTTATTCTTCCTGGGGTGAAGTTCTGCTGCAGTGTTACCAGCCATAAGTGTTGGGGCAAGCAGTGTATGATTGTAGTGTGTAAAGAAGTTCCTGGTCTTGCCAGTACATATCATGATGCTGAATTTAATTTTGACATATCATTGAATACCAAATTACTTTTCATTGGAAGAGTGAATTTGATCTGGAAAAAA